ACCCATTTTTAATGGGTTATAGATTAAAAGATTATGTATTTAAAGAAAATGTAGTAAAAAATTGGGTTTTATGCAGTCTATTTATTTGGTAAGCTGTTTGCACAGAATTATATTATTTTGCTGTATTCAAGTGCTTAACGTAGTTAATCTGTATGTAAGGACATTGCATTTTATTATTTTATATATTTTCTATTTTAATTCGAATAAAAAATGCAATTCAAATAAAGTCAATATATCTACAAATATGTGTATATATATTATACATATATTTATTTATATAATATATAATTTAAATATCAAATGAACTAAAATAGCTGACAACAGCATAGATCATATTAAATTTAGCTATCGTTTCCGCATTTAATGTAATTAATTGAATATGTATAACAATTTATTTTGAATTGAACCAAAAGCTAACATTTAAATCGTTTTTTTATTATATAGAATAACGTAAAATTGTAAATGCATAATTTGAACATTTTCTGTGCACATTACGCATACGCAACGTGCGCGCAGGCAGCAAAGTTTAATTATTGCCAGACCATAAGCAAATGCACACGCAACACACCCACACACACACTCACACACACACGCATATGACAAATCATTGTTGTACAACAAATGCGGCGCAACTTTTGATTAAAATGTCATGACAGACTCTCACACACACACACACGCACACAAATAAATACTGACTTGGCTGCTTGCATATGCAAAGTTTGGCGCATGCCGCAGCGGTAATAATCACACACACATTAGACACACACGCACACACATGCAGCTGAATGCTGTGCAGAAAAGTCAAATTGTTGTTGTTTTGGCGCAAAATGTTTGCGGCGCTTTCAGTTGATCCAGCATCTGCATCTGCTGGCATTTTTCTTGCACCTCACTGAGTTGACAATGCGCAGCGCTTGTAAATCCAAAACAAGCAACCACAACGAGCCACAGCAGCAGCAGCATCAGCAGTAGCAGCAGCAGCAGCAGCAGCCGCCGCCGCATCAGCTACTCGTTGTGAAAAATTCAATTACAAAGTCGCCCAACTGCAGCCAAGGAATGCAAAAAAAAGGAGAAATCATTGTTATCTACGTTTTGCCAAAGTTTAAATACCCTGCCAGCTTTATAATGCAAATAGAGTCAAATATTGTTATTGTTGTCTTGAACAAAATTGGACAGCTTCAAAATTAAATACAACAAAATCAAATTTACGATTAACTTTCCATTTTGTTTAATTTTTAATTTCTGAGTTTATCCATGATACAGAAAAATAATTTTTTTTTTGGTATTTTGTCGATTTCGTTTAATATTAATTGTCGAGTTTATCCAAGATACAGCAGCAGAAAAATTGTTTGTATTTAAAATGAGTTTCGACTGATTTTTATATATGATTGGGTAGCTGATATTTAATAAAATTTATTTCATATATAAAGAGCATAATTTAGTTCCAAAATATAAGTTTTGATACTTAGTTTCAAGGAGTCTTCGAAAAAGTCTTTTATATAAATAACTTTCGTTTGCCTATATGGTAATTCGAACCGACAAATTTCAAATTATATGCTGCCTACCACAAGAAAATAGAGAATGGAACCATGCATCTTAGAGAAACACACAGGGAGACGAGCAAGTCTGCATGGTTAATACAGATGCAGCGTATATATATATATATGCGTTATGGCTGGAAAGAAGGAATCTCTTCAGTGAGTTGAAAACTTAGTGCCAAACAAGCCGCAAGCATAAAAAAACTAAAACTCACAGAATAACAATTCGGTATGTTTTAATGCATTACACAGTTGGTAACAAAATGCAAACACCCAAGTGTTAGGGTAAAGCAAACTTTTTTTATGGGATTTGATGCAGATGCAAATTCAGCAGCGGCAGACAGTTGCGTCTCTGTGTTATGCGGTCGTCGTTTGTCCCCAGCAGAACTATGCGAATTGTGAACTGCGAACTGAGAACTGCGAACTGGAAAGCGGCAAACGGCAACTGGCAACTGGCATCTGGCGACTGAAAACCGTTGGCCAAATTCTGTAAGCAGTCACGTGCGAACGTGACAAAAATGCCACGATGATGCGCCATGCTCTTTGGCCAAGTTGCCGACTGGGCCACAACCAATGGCCATAACCAGAGACAGAGGCGAAGGCACAAAGCTTGCCTCGCATTGTTCACACACAGCAGTTGGTTGATTGCTGTGAGTGTTTGGGTGTGTTTGTGTGTGCTTGTGTGTTCCGCACTTCATATTACACTGTTTTCTTTGGCCCGAGCTTATGGCAAAGGTCGAGCCACAACAATGCACAGAGAACCGCAATACGATATAGTTTCGGTGTGGGCTGTAGGGGGCGGGGCCTGCTCACATTCAAATGCGAGCTCTGCAAATTGCTGTGAATTATGCGTGCAAATAGGATGTCAATTGATGCAGTGCTGACAATTGTGTCAACATCAGCTGCAGCTGCAGCAGCTGTTTTTTTAATGCACAACCATTTTATACAGCTTTATATATTTATACATATATATGTTGACAATTTGTATGCTATATGTGTACATATGTGCTAGTGTACACTGTCAACATGACAATGTCATTTTAATTGCTCTGCATATATATATATATATATATATATATAAATATATTTTTTTTCAATTTTATTTCTAAACACTTTTAGGCAAATTAATTGGAAAATTTTCATGTTATCTTTTACACTTGCAGACAAATCTGGTATACAACATATTAAAAGGCCATACTCTATGAAAAATTAAACTGAATTTTGGTACACAAAGCTAAATATTTATTATTTTCATTTATATATCCTGATCAATATGTCCGTCCATCTTATGAATGTGTTGATCTCAGAGGCTACAAGAGCTGCAATTTTCATAGTCCTGAATTCTAACTATCTTCGTTTAATTCAAAAATATCTAATATCTAAATAGAATTTACCTAAAAGCAAAACAGCATATCAAACTATAAATATTATTCTATAAATTTAAGTATTTTTTTTTTTTAGTTTCATTGTTAAGTTTCTTAAATGATAGGAGTTAGTTTTAAATTTTATTTAACTTAAATTTGCGAAATTAATTAAACCAATTTTGCTAACTAAACGCAAGCAAATGGAATTTGCATGCATTATGTTAGTTAAATGTTAAAATAAATAAATGAACCAAAATCACATCAAATGCCTGCATTCAAAATGTAAAATTCAATTCGAAATTATCTCTCTCAGAACTATATGTAAGCTGTTTAACTCAATTATAGAAAATCAGAGAAATTGTCAAAGTGCTTATTAAATAACTTAGAAGAGATTCCAAACGTTAACAAGAGCTGACATTTTGCTGAACTTGCTTTACACTAATTAATTTTGAATAAGTCGCAAAACAAATTCCAAATTTAATCAACAGTTGGCAACGCGCCCAACTAAATACACAAAGGCAGGTATGGAAATATTTATTTAGGGATAGTTGTCGCAGGAAAATGTTCAAATCTCATTGTGGAACAGTGTGGTTTAGAGATGCGTGACCAAATTAATGCAAAGCAATTGAGATTTGAAATTTAACATTTTGGCTTAATTGACATACAGCAAATGCCAATCAAGGACGAGCACACACACAAAATCATCCGCATCCGTTTGCCCAACGCAATTATGTTTAATTGTAAAATATTATTTGGTTTACACAAATTACGCACGGCAAATGAGTTGCATCGATGCCGAAACGTGTTATGTGGTTGCTTTAATGGCAAAACCAGCCCCAATTAAGCGCCCATCTCCACCCACAATAAAACTTAATCAACATGGAATATAAACTAAAGCAGACCACAGACACATCAAGTGCGTCTGTGTATGTGTGTGTGTGTGTGTGTGTGTGCCATATCTCTTATTTTCCACATATTTATATAAATGAACATATTTTTGCCAGTCGCAACTCTTGTGCAAATATCAAATACTAAGTGCGCGCTTATTTGATTCATATAACCTAACAAGCGGCCATACGTAGCAGGCATGTCCAGTTGGAAGAAGAGCTGTTTATGTTTCCTTATTTTCTAAAATATAATTGGGTTATATAATCATTTAATATTGATTTATTACGTGCTCTGCTATTGATGTTACTTAAGTGGATTACACGACGTATACGTAATTGACTTTAAAGAAACTCTTGACATAACATTTGAGTGCGAAATATGTTATAAACTGTGTGTGGGGCGTATACGTAATATTTCAACTCTACTAGGTGGTAATAAATAACTTAATTATGTTTTATTTCAAATATTTATTCTCATTTAATTTTTAATAAGCAATTTCCTATATTAAAATGACACAAGTCTATTCTAAGAAAACAAGTAAGAAATATTTTAGAATATTCTGTATTGAAAACTCGATTTAATTTCAGAAAAATAAATAAATTATGTTCCATTTGTTAATTGATTTTTTTTTTTGTGAAATTGCAAGCGTAAATGAACTTCGCTCTGTTCTAAAATGCGCATTATTCTTTTATAATTTACTTGTTTGTACACATTTTCCTTTTTTTTAAGCAAATGTGCCAAAATTTGTCGGGAAAATACGTGTAATAAACAAGAAGATATTTACATGTGACCGCGGCTGACATTTTTGTTATTGTTTTCGTTTTGTTGCTTGTGAAGACAGCAAATTTTCATAAAATTATGCGCAGATTTTTGTTCAAATAGAAGCAAGGCTTGTTGGCGGGAAAAGAGAGCAAGAGAGGGGTTGGTGGGCAAAACGCATCATAATATTCTGCTAAGCAAGGGCACCTTAATTAGCTGTGTCATTTTATGCAAATGATTAGAGTGTGAGTGTGGTGAGACGGGGGCGTGGTAAGCCCGCCCGCTGCTAATGAAAATCCCAATGAAAGATATTACGTATACGCAATGCTTATGCGCATTCAAATTAATTGACTTCACGCTGTTATTGTTTATCCAACGACAGACAACAGACAGCGCATATATTAACACATTTTAAAATACTTCTCTCACCCTGCCTTTCTTTCTCTCTCAACAGGCTACATGGCAGCTGCGGAAGAGGCAGCAACAATGGCGCCAGAGCACAGCGCGACGTCAGGCAGCAGCAGCCCAAGTGAGGAATTACAGCTTCATATAAATCAAAATTTAATTATGTCGCCAGCGCTCGGCTCGAGCTTTGCCGCCGCATCGGCGGCTGCACTGACAGCTCCACAGCCCTCCATCGCCTCCTCGTTAGCCACCTCATCCTCATCCTCGTCGGGCAGCAGCATAACAAGCTTTGACTCCAACAACTTGATCGATGACAAGCGCCTGCCACAGCCGCCACACCAGCAGCAACAGCATCTCGAACAGCTCCAGGTGCAGCACCAGCAGCAGCAACACTCACGTATTCAGGCCAAAGATACGGCTGGCCCATATCCAATACCTGTGCACAGGCCCGAGCCCGTCGAGAATCATCTGGAGGCGACGCACGGCATCGATGGTGCGGATAATGTGTTCGGCACGCCCATGTACTTCGGCACCGAGAACTCAACGGTGGTGACTACACAGATTGGCGCCACCGCCCACGTACCCTGCACCGTGCACCACATTGGCGAGGGTGTGGTAAGTAAATATACCCATTGTATTCTCGCATAGTCATGCTCCTCTACTCCATCTCATGGCGCGTTCACGTTGTCGTATCTTGTACCTGTGCCCACAAATGAGTCATTCGTGCAGCGCAGTTCACATTCATTCACCGCACTCGTTGCCATTGTTTTAATATTTTATTTTAAATCAATTTATCAACTTCTGTGTTTGAATTGTGGCCAGCTTCACTTGGTCTCCCGCTTTGCGTTTACTGCGCTTCCCACGTCCTCCTGGCGCATAAATTAACAAAGTGTCATTCACAATGGCAAATAGATCGCGCACAATTCCACTTGACGTTTTAATTGAAAATGAAAATCTATAAACCGACTTTAAAATAAGTTGTATAAAAATGTCGAGGAAAACCAAAGCCCTATTCATGAGAAAATATAAAATAACATTGAAAACGAATATTGCTGCAGGTAATATTTGAACAGCAACGAAAACTAAACTCGGGGATAATACATTTACGAATAGATTTCTGCAAAATAGAGTTTGTATTTTGCCGACATAGATATAAGATTAAAAGTGCACGGGGTCATTTCTTGAAGTATATATATGTTATACTTCTTACCTTTTTATATATTTCCTTATAAACTTTTTTATTTAAATTCTTATATTATTAATATATGACAGTTACGTATTTCGTATTTATACTTCAAGGTTTGTACATAAACTAATATATCAATTATCCAAACCTTATAAGAGAAATATAAACATTTTAAATAGATACTTTTAAGCCTGAAAGCTATCTTCAAGTTAAATTGCAATCTTTTTCCATAAGCACTTTCCAAATGCATCGCATTTTATTTAGCTTTAATGGAATCAGCATAAGTTCCTCTTATGGCAAATTCCAATTTATTTACTAATTGGAAACCATGGCACATATTTATGTGGACCACCCGCCAAGCTGACAATTTCAGAGAATTAATTACACTTTTTTCCCCTGCTTATCGAGTGCACTTCGAAATTATAACGCGTCACAATAATGAAGCACAACTAATATTATGTTACCAACATATGTATAGGTAGGTATATATATATACATTTACGCATTATCCACAACAAGCATACGTCATTATACACACCTCACACACATAGACACTTACACATATATACAAAGACAGGAGCGAGCAGAGATCCCACATCCCATATCCCATATCCATGCCATATGGCGTCTAGGGCTAACAAATTGCACCTATAGCTAATGTACATCAACTACAAATAATCAAGCAGAACGCAGACAAAGATGAGGTGTGAAAGAGAGCGAGAACAGAGAGCGGGACAGAGAGTGCTATCGAGGCTGTACAGCCCCAAGTGGTATTAATTTTACGCTTGTCTAGAGTTATTACTCATACGCAGCGTACGCCTCACGCACGCTTCGTCTATTTGTCTAAGCCCGCCTGTGCTGTTCAGGGAATTCAGGAGCCTCAGTGTGTTTACGCCCCGAAATGCTGGACACGATGCGGAACGTGTGCTGCCAGCCTATTTGTTGAGGTGTGTGTGTGTTTGTGTATTTGTGTGGTTGTGTGGGTGTGTCTGTGCGTGTCTAGTTTAAATTGACGATTTCATAATTGCGCCTTCAAGTGTGCAGAAGTTAATAAGCACTTAAGCGACTCCATGCCAGCTGCGTGGCTTTTGGTCTACACACACATCCACACACACTCGACCAAAGTGTGTTAACTCCCCGTATGTAACTGGTTAGCCTGGTTTGCACTTGAGCCGTGCAGTGCTCGTGTGTGTGCCAGCTCGTGCTCAAGTGGCCATTGGGCAGCTTCTAAAGTTGGGCTCCTAAATGCCAGGGCTTGCCTAATAGCTTGGCAGTTAGTTGAAAATCATAATAATTCCCATGGAGCAATTCAGTTGATGATATTGCTACCGGGTATATTTACCCATGGACAGCAGCCTGGCAGCCGACATATGTGGCATTAATGAGGCATGCCAATTGCATCTGTCACGATTTCCGTTCATTAGGGAAAATACGTATTGCATACGCATTAAGCATACGCCATGTAATTGCTGTACACAAATTAGAAGCAAAAGCAAAGCAAATTTCATCAATGCTAAGACTCTTTGGCACACACTCGCACGCAGACACACTCACATCGTTGACAGCAGCCTTTCAGCGAGCTGTGTACTAGAGTTGTGTCTATTAAAGGCATTACTGTTACCCTTTGCCATTGACATCGACTTTTATGCTTCGCCTTTGCTATTTAAAGCTCTTTATGATACACAAACGCTAGCAACACACACACGCACGCACCTGCACATCGAAGACAGTCTCTAGTTGTTATAAATGCATTTACCTTGCACATCATTTCTCATGCATTTTGTGTAGTTGCTCCCTAAGCCCACACCTGCTGCAGAGTTGCCTTTGCGAATGCACATTAATATTTGCAGAAATTTATGAACGGCATTAAGGGCACACATGATTGTAACATGCAAATGTACATTTGTAATAGCAAGTTCAATGAATAGGAAATATGTGTGTATAGGAATAGAACATTTAATTTAAGTAGTACATAAGAGTTTGAGAAGGAAACAGTATACAGTGTAGGTAACACAAATGTTTTATGTGCTTATAATATATATAAATAAACTGAAGGTTAGGTATATGAATTTATGACAATCGCATAGAAGGGCCCTCGGAATTTGAGAAGAAATAAAAGCGAAGCTTTCTGCTTTTAGAATTCTGTCTCTCTTCGTTTTTATCTGTCTCTCTCTTTCTCTCTACCTCTCTTTCGCTCTATATTTCTGTCTCTGTCTCTAGTTGTGCCTTACTTGCAATACTTTCAAGCTATCTCCGTTCCATTTAGAATAATACAAATAAATTACTAACGAAAGGGTATAATTTTACTATAAATGTCTCATTTAAACATATCTTCTTATGACTTATCATCGTTTCAAACTACAGGGTATAACTAAGTCGACTTAGACAATGACAAGTCTATGGAACACACAGAAGACTCTTTTGCCTTTGTCTTATGCCTGGCAAAGGCTTGCTGCTTTTGCTTATTTCTTTTTTTTTTGTCCCTCGGTGGTTTATTTGTTTGCTTGTTGCACCCTTAATGAAGGCTTCTTTGCGATAAAATACGGGAGGGGTTTGCCCTCTAAATATGCATACTAAACATTTCCGCGCTTTTTTGCCAGCCCCTGTCGTAGTCGTTTGCCGTTGATGTTGCCATTGTCGTAAATTTTGTTCAGCTTCAGACGACAATAAAATGCAGGAAACATTAAATAAATGAATTGCTTCCGCGAGGAGTGCTACGTAAATGCGTTGTGCTGTGTGCGCCTTTGTTTCACCATTTTGCTGCAATTTTAATTTTTGTCGCGATGCGATTTCGCAGTCGTCGCCTTTTCCTGACAACACCAAACCGCTAGCCAAGTATATGTATAAATCATCCAAATAAATGTATTTATGGGTGTGTAGGCAAAGAGAAGGGAAAACTGAGAAAACTTAGCCATAAGACAAAGTCCTAAGAACTATGCTTATTCAATTTATGAATGTAGAATACATATGAACTGTATATTATTTAGTTTTAAATAAAATTATTCAACTCGTTAATTTTCTTAAAAATTAAAACAACAAATTTAAATTTAAAAACTTCTGTTGAATTTTCATAAATTCGAACCGGCGATCTCCCCGCTCGTTAGTCCTAAGCCACACAGGCTCACGACGTCACGTTTGCAAAGCAGATTTGTAACCAAGAACTTTGCCAAACTTTTTCCCAACTTCGCGCTCAAATTTAATGAAAAAAATCTTTTACGATTTCAAGTGTGATTTTCTACTTTAGCTTACGTTTTTTCGTTTTTTTGTTTTGAGCTTAGATAATTAATAATAATTTATCATCCAGTTAAGTTTGCAATGGGTAATAATTCTATATTTATCAAAAGTTTGTATTAAAATTAGTTTTAAATTTGAAAGAAAGAGCTGAGCATGCTTTGAGCCAACAATATGCAACCGGAAAATCTCAGATAAAGCAAATATTCAAAGTACTGTTTAAGTAGATTTTCTCGATTCGAATGCAAGACTAAATCTAAATTCCAATTAAGTTATGTGCTGGAAAATTGGCAAATGCGTTTGACAATAGCAATTGGCTTGACAAACAACAATTCATGCAGCTCAACAAACAGCATAAAGCAAATCTTTGATAGCCAAAGACAACAAACAGCAAATTTAAAGCGCATAAATCAAATTGCAGTCGAGCAACTGCAGCAGCAGCAGCAACCACAAAATAAAAGCCAAAAGTTCTAAATGTCATTCGTTGCAGCAGCAACAGCAACAACTGGGGAAAATAGAGTGGGGAAACCCCAAGTGGAATTAGATATTACGACACATTTTGGGCTTAGACACACAGTCTACATTAAAATATGTCATTTGAGAATTGCTGCAGTTCTGTGTGTGTGTGTGTGTGTGTGTGTGTGCGTGTGAGCAGCTTAAATGACATTAAAAATAAACGAAGGCAGATACATTTAAGCTAAAGCAAATGTATGAAGCGCACGCTGTCAGGCATCAGGCATGCTTGCTTAAGGCTACAGCTGTCCTCCGCTGTAGGCAGCACCCTACCCTTACTCCACACACACACACACACACACACACACACACACACACACACACACACACACACACACACACACACACACACACACACCCTTATATACATATAGATTGAACTTATTCAGCAGCCAGAGGCGAGCCTGCAACTAAAGGCTGCCGCCTGGAGGTAGCCAGGATGTCATCCTGTTTGCTTCTGCTGCTGGTGCTGCGCGCGTGTGCGTCGTTCCCTCGACTTGAGCACTTAATTACTTTTTAGATAAATTGTCGTTTTTAATGTCTAGACTCTTAGATATTTTCATAGAGAAAAGTGGCAGTAATTAAATGTGCTCACAGCACGTCAGGTTAGTAGCCAAAGCAGAGGCAAACATCTAAAGCGAATGCCAAATGCTTAAATTGCAGCAAAAAACTCAAGTGCCAAATG